GGTCTGTTGAGGGGGGTCTGGGTGGGAGCTCAGGGTCTTTCTCTGTTTCAGCTGTCTCCAACACTGGAGCTGGTGCTGGGATCCAGGAACCCTGGAGGGATCAGCGTTGGCAGACAGAGGCGTTCTGTGGTGTGCAGGGGCAGTGGAAGTTGGAAACGATGGAGATCTTGAACCCCCCCTGGACACCAGAGAATGCCCCTGTCTGCCAACGTTGATCCCTCCAGGGTTCCTGGATCCCAGCACCAGCTCTCTGCAGCACCTCTCCTCTCCTGGAGCTCTATTCCATCCTCAGCTGCCGTGTGTCTAACGTCGAACGCCATGGACTCCTCATACATACCCCGCCGGGATCAAAGGCTGGGACAGGTAGGATTTCAGGGGCCCAGTGTATAGAGGTCCGGGCCAGGTATTCCTCCTGTGGCGGGCGGCAGGAGTTCCTGTGCTCAGCGGTCTCCTGGCGCCATGTTCAGGCCCCTCTCCCTGCTGTGTGTTGGCCAGTGGTAATTGTCCACATCACTCAGGAAGTGGTATGGAGACCCAGAAGAATCCCTTCAGGAAATAAACAGTGAGGTGAAGGACCTGGCCCTGGATGATCATATAATTGTGGCTGAGGGGGTAGGAGAGGGCTTGCCTTTATACTAGGGTTAAGATTTAATGTATTTCAAAGTTTTAACCATATTTCCTCTTTCCACTTCTTTCTCCAAGACTCAGCCCTGTGTAAACTCCAAGTTGCAACTTGGAGCTTACAAATGTCTTCCTTTCTTTACCAAACTGAGTGACAGAGCCAAAGGAAGGAAGTTATGTGCAGCTGTCGGCACCACCGTTATCTCTTCTGTTGCTGGACTAATTTTCCCTTTTTTCTTCATATGCGTGCTAAAATGCGTGCATGGGTAAAATACAAGTTCATTTAATTTATTTTTGTATTTTTTTTTACATTTTTAAATACTTGCCAGATTTCTGTTATGGCAATAAATATTTAAGAAAAAATTGATTATCTACTTGAAATGCCTGGTACACACTGAGCTTTTTTTGTTCAGCCCAGTAGGCTGAACGAAAAAACAACTGAGGACCTCGGGAGGAGGTTGCTGTACTAACGATGCAATTTTAACACAGTGATCTCCCCGCTGGGTTTCTGTGTTCTGACAGGGGAACTGCCCTCCCACCAGAACACACTGGTCAGCGCTTACGCTTACTGATGCTGAATGGTAGATATTTCTCTAGCATGCCCGTTCTAAAGAAGCCGATTGTTCGGCCAGCTTCTGTTGGACAGGCTGCTGTACACACTGCCCGAATGTCGGATGGTTTCTGTTGAACTTGGCCGATATTGGACAATATTTGTTCCATGTGTACCACGCCAAAGCACTCTGTATTTGACTCATTCACATTCTACCTCACTGCTTAAAGTGTTAGTAAACCATGACCTTTAAAAAACTTTAAAAACCTGAAAGACAATAGCATAATGTGCTAGTATGCATTGCATATTATGCATTATGTGAAACTTACCTTAAAATGAAGCCCTCACACGGCACACTGTCACTGCTGACAGGGCTTCCATCTTCACCTCGGTCTTCTTCCAGGTTCACAAGCTCCAGGGGTTTGAATGGCCAAGCCGTGATTATGTCACTCCCGCGCATGTGTGGGATTCACTTTTTACTGCACGTGGCTCTGAAGGAATGGCATGGGCATGCCATGTCTTCAGAGCTCCTTTACAAGTAAATAGCTCCTAAACGGTGCACGTTTAAGATATATTTACAGTACCTACAGGTAAGCCTTATTATAGGCTTACATATAGGTAAAAGTGAAAAAAAAACAACTTTACTACCACTTTAATGTCTGTTGAGATAAGGTATCAGTGAGTCAGCTGATTTATAGACTTGCATTGCAAGAAGGAGTAGTAAAACAGGAAGAAGAACAATGAATGTGTAATGAGCACATATCATTGCCCAATGTGCCCTCCATGTAATTTGCAATTTGTAAAATACACATAAAACAACATTTTGAAAAGCATTGGGAAACATTGGTATGATGTTAATCTTTGAAATGCATATTTAAAAAAAATAATAGAAAGTAGACATTCTCTTTAAAGGTTTCTTTATTGCAAAATCATTGTTTACAATCCACAGACTTATTAGCAAAAAACTGACTTTTCTTTTTTCAGTCCTCTAATCATACGAGAGAATTGGTTTTGCACCAATTCACACATCTATTTAATTGTACTACTCTACGGTACGCTAACTCTGGCATCTGCACACTCAGTGAGTCATTATTGCCATGTGACACATTGTAACGCGTGCTAATTGGAGAAGCAGAATTAGCTTATAGCACCACATAATGTGATTCTGTGTGACAATAATATCAAGGTGCTTTCATTATACTATCCAGTAGCTGAAATTCTGATCATGTTATATAATGGGACTCAGAGAAATAATGGTATTAATGTTTTCAGTGAATATTCTGAATACCACTTTCCCAGCTTTCCCTTTCAACTTGTATGAAATCTTTGCATGCATTTAAAACACAATATAACACCCCACATTGGATAATTATTCCATTTTTAAAACCAACTTCCTTAAAATTCTGGGACAACTACCATACTTTAGAAACTGATGTTGGATACTGGAGAAGTATATTCTTAAGAAACTCTAGTGTTTTCTGCACATTATATTGCTCCTCTGAGTTTGTTTCTATTTCTATGCCAGAACTATAATGACTCCAACAGCTGAATGAATGTATAGACTGTGCTTCTTTTGCCTGAGCAAGCAATTTGCATGTTTGCTAAAAGCAGAGCAAAATGGAAGATACTGATGAACACTATACAATGAATTTAAACCAAATCCTGCTATAAGGTCCCTTAGCAGCCATGTGGGCAGCTATGATAGTAGTTACACTTCTGGTCAGATTCCTGAAGCTTCTAGGCCATAGACCATTGTAAGTAATCCAGCTTGATCCCTATTGGATTATTTGGCTTCTTGCTTTTCTGACTACTCAAACATTTTGGATTTTCCATAATTGGTTTAGTGACAATAGTCACCTGGACAAATATAAGTGTAGATCTCCCTTCCAGGCCCCTGAGGAGGGGCTCAGACGTCACGACGTTGCACTGGAGAGGCGCGGTGATCCGAGTACAGACGCAGGCAGACAGCACTGCAGAGGCAGAGGCAGAGTATACCTGTAGATTGTCATCTATGCTGGATTACAACAGAGCTGTATACTATTGTGCAACACCTTAACTGGCAGCAATAAATCTCCTTTTATGCACAAAGATAAGGCACCATGGTCTGTTTTCTTCCTTTTTTCAATTGACCAACACCCCTTGAGCTGGTATAAGGAGGATTGGAGAAGGAAACAACCCCAGGAGGGGAATTAGGAGATCCTCAGAGAGCTGGTCAGTACATCCACTCATGAGCAGCTACACAAGGGGATAAAGGAGAGAACAGGAGAACCCATTTAAATCCACATCCACCTTCTGAGACAACTAGAACAAGAGCATCATCCCATCTCATCTATCCTGGAAGGATAAAAAGCGTATTTGCCTGGATTCATTCAGGCAAATATAGAGGTGAGCACATAGGGAGACCACTAAGCACTCGGCGAGAGGGAACAAAGAATCCACCTGCACATTTATTTTGAAAGACTTTATATCAACTTTATTATATGCACGTGCACAAAATTTATATGTTTCTGCACAATATGAATATAGTGATCACAGTAGAATAGAGGTGCATTATTTTGATCTGTATACCATTGTACCTCTTAAGGCACCATCACCTTAGGATTGTTAGCCATCAATGTCACCTGCATGAAGATTATAATTTATATTTACTGTTTGAGTCACTAGGCATAGTAATTTATGATTGCCATTTATTTTGATTTATGCATTACCTTGGATAATTATCTATAGCACTTTAACAGTATAAGATATATACACTTATATATAGGAGCGCGGCACTATCTATCTATAAATATTATATATACACTAGCAAGTGAGTCAGTGCAAGTGCCAGTGCACCTCACGCATGAAATAAGAAGATTATATCTAAAGTTACTTATTGAACACCTCACTTCATAATAGCTCACAAGCATTCACCATTTATATCAGTATGATTTTCACAGATAGATTCAGTGACAGTGTACACTGACAGAGTATATTTTGTCGTGGAATTGATTTTTTGTAACCACTTGCTTACAGGGCACCCCCCCCGCCCAGGCAAATTTTCAGCTTTCAGAGTTGTCGCACTTTGAATGACAATTGCTCAGTCATGAAACACTGTACCCAACCAAAATTTGTATAATTTTTTGAGATAGATAGAGCTTTCTTTTCATGGTATTTAATCACCACTGGGTTTTTTTAATTTTTGCTAAACAAACTAAGAGTCCAAAATTTTTGAAAAAAAAAGTTTTTTTCTTAGTTTCTGTTATAAAATTTTGTAAATAAGTAATTTTTTTTGCTTCACTGATGTGCACTAATGAGGCTGCAGTGATGGGCACTGATAGGCTGCACTGATAGGCGGCACTGATGAGGAAGCACTGGTAGGTGGCACCGATGGGCATTGACAGGCATCACTTGTGGGCATTGACAGGAATCACTTGTGGGAATTGACAGGCATCACTGATGGGCACAGAAAGGCAGCATTCTTATATGGCAATGATAGGCAGCACTAATGGGCACTGATAGATGGCATTGATAGGTGGCACTAATAGGCAGCACTGATTGGAACTGTTAGGCAGCACCCACAGGCACTGATAGGCACCACTGATGGGAACTGATAGGTGCCACTGACTGGCACTGATAGGTGGCACTGATTGGCATGGATAGGAAACACTGACTGGCACTGATAGGTGGCACTGACTTGCACTGTTAGTTGGCACTGAAAGGCAGCTCTGGTGGGCACTAGTATGTGGCATTGATGTGCACTGGTAGGCACTGATATGTGGCATTCAAGTGCACTGATGGGCACTGGTATGTGGCATTGATGGGCACTGACATGTGGCATTGATGGGGCTACACTGATCATCAGTGCCCTGATCATCACTGTAGATGTCCTCTGTGAGGAATGCCACTTACTGGCTCTCCTCTCCTCACGCACTGTCAGTGTGAGGAGAGGACTGCCGATAACAGGCATTTCCTTGTTTACATGCGATCATCTGTGATTGGACACAGCTGATCACACAACAGCCGACGTCATCGGCTATTTACTCTGGTGATCCACTGTGTCCCAGGGAAACAGCGCACCACCGATCACTGCGTGCACCAGGGGGTGTGCAGCGCAGTTAGAGTGGGATGACATCATATGACATCCTCCCAGAACGAAAGAGCCGTCGACTGTCCATCATTTCCTTATATGGCGGGTGGGAGGTGATTAAACAATTAGCTTTACTTTTTACTTTTTTTTTCATTTAGCTTTTTTCAAATAGTTTTAGCAGCAGGACCTGCTCTTTCATTAAGAGGTAATATTTCCCCTTTGACCATAAGAAAGTAATTGTCCAGTAGTTTTCAGAGGCTGTCTCTGTTCTTGTTAATAATGTCCTGCCTCTGGCCAATTTCTATCAAACTCTCATTAAGAACTAAGAGCCCACAGATAATATACATCATCTAAAATTGCAATGGCACATATCAAACCACTTATCTACTGTTGTACGCTTTTCAAAGGTGGATTGATGACCCTTTATTTACCCAGTTCCATTTATAAATCCCATCAGTGATAAATAGTTGCTGGGTGGCCGATCTGCCTGGTGACTGCTGAGTTCAGTTATACAGGGATCTTTTTATGCATCCATTATTATTATTATTATACTGGATTTATATAGTGCCTCAGCGCTTTACAAAATAAAGGGAGACAATACAGCAACAATACAGTTCAATACAAAAGGGTTAGGAGGGTCCTGCTCCTTGGAGCTTACAATCTAAGATCCTGCACATCTGAACATTAACCCCTTCACCTCAATACTGCCACAGTATGTGACCAGTACATTAACTCCTTCAATTATCCTCCCTTTGTGTATGACCTCTTCATTATTGTATCTAGTTTTTCAACCTCAGGGTTTAACCCCCCCTCAGCTTCTTTATTTCCAAAAAAAAAAACTGTCAAAAGTTAGATTCGCTTGGGGTGTCTACTTTCCCAAAAAGGGTAATTTGGGTGAGTTTTTATATAAATGAAGGGAGACCGTTTTTGGTCTTTTTTCCTTTTTTATAGTATAAAAAAAGTTCTTAAATACCACCAAAAGAAAGCTCTGTTGCCAAAAATGGTATAAAACTTATTTGGGTGTTGTAAAATGGAGCAATTTTCAGTCAAACTATTACAGCATTAAAAATTTAAAAATGGCCTAGTGATGAATGGGTATTATAGGCTGGTACTCAAGTAAATGATGAGGGAGACCTAAAATTTGCTAGAAATAAATAGTATGGGTGGTGATATTGCTAAAAGAAATAAGAGACTGTAGATGATACCGCTGTGTAAAATAGGTCAGCAACAGAGCAATTTTAAATAGCAAGGCTAGGCCCAAATTTACTAGAGACAAAAAGCACAGGCTGAGGCTTTAATACAAAATTTGAGATACTACAGAGGATATAGCAGTGTAAAATTGGCAAGCAGCAGAATAGTTTAAATCAGGGTACTTTTTATTTTATATATGGGATAAGGGATGGTGGTAAATGTCATTGATGCTATGTGACGTGGTTTAGTGCACACCATTACTGCCTGTGCACAATGTGCATGCTCTGCACAAAAGGCACCTCTTAGAGAAAATGACGGTAACCAGAGAATGCTTCTCCCATTTTCCTCACTCCAAAAGCCCTTTATTGGTGCCTCTTAGCCTGTTGGCCATAGATCAAATGCTATGCACAACATTGTAGTTTAAGAAATTTTTTTCCAGATGAATCTGTAAAAAACATTTGGCAGGATTGTGAATTTTTATTATGAATTTTAGGATTCCTCTTGAACCCATGGTAGCTACAAAACCAAACTTCATGCCTGAAAAGTAATATTTATTAAATGCCCACATTTTTTTTATATTTAGGTTTATGACCTGATATTTAATTGCAGTATTTTAATTATTTGTATAAAACAAGTATTTGAAAAAAAAATAAAATACATGGTATTACCATGCTCCAGTGTATTTGGTGCATGTCAGCTGTGAAAAAGCCTAGCGCTAGCTCTGCACTTGGTGCATGCTTCTGTAGGACTAAGGATCTAGACAGCACTGTCTCTACTTTATGATATTTTCATATTTACATGTCATGTCAAAATGGAAACTTTATACGGAAGGATATATACAGAAAAATCATTTTAAGAAAATGTTTTCATGATGACATGCCATGTACATATATAGTATATACTGTAGTAGTGTTATGTGTGTGAATTTTAGTGACATTTATATACATATATTTACCACAAAGAGCCTTAAATGCGGACTTCCAATTTCACTAAAAAAGGAAAATATAGCATTTAAAATTGTAATTGAATGTTTAAAAAAAAAAGTACCTTTCCATTTCAGTCTGTAGCCACTGTAATTTTCTAAAACTGTCAAAAAAAGTCAATGTCATATGATACTATGTGAGGTGGTTTAGTGCAAACCATTACTGTCTGTACACAATGTATGTGTGATTGGCTCACCGATACTTTCAAAAGTCTTTACTAAGATACAAATAACATTTTAGGCATTCTGTGCAATAGGGATTAGGCTACTTTCACATGAAGAGTCTGATCAGGTCTGTTTGTCAATTTTTCAGGTATACCTGATCGGACAGACCATTCACGCCTATGGACTGGTGGGTGTAAACGAACTTGTGTCCATTTACACTTGCCTACCTCCAATCTGATCCAGTCCTCTACAGAAAAACAAAAAGGAATCTGTTCCCCTTCATCTAGGTGGATCGGAAGGCAGTTAGATGTAAATGAACAGAAAAGTCAATTTACACCTGGCCACCTAAAAAGCAGAGCATGCTTTGTCTGTGTCCGCTCTGCACAAACTGAGCGGACACAGACCTGTCATCTGCCCATTCTTCTCTAATCTGCAGGGGATCAGCAGACCGATCCCTTACTGATCAAAATAGAGTCCACTCCATGTGAAAGGGGCCTTAGTCTTGCAAGGACACAGTGAAACAAACAGCTTTTTCTTTAGAACAGAAAAAGGGGGGGGTGGCTTTGCTATGGTGGCATGAGGAAGCTTCAAGGCTGAGCTCTGTGCTGATGCGGGGTTTATTTCATCAATCCGCCTAATCTGCTAGCTTCATTCATCTATGCTGAAGCAGGGTAAACCCACGGACACACCTGGCACCCCCAAATTCCACTATATCACCCGCTACCTCTCTGTCCGGGGAGACTAACACCGCCTCAAGTTCCATCATGGCACCTTCCCACCACCCCCCAGGCTGCGGTCAAGTCCTCATTGGAAGCTGCTCCAGCTCACATATTCACGATTGAGTATCCGCAATCTTCTATCCATACTCCTGTGATGCTGCTGATGGACTTCATGGACGAATCCACCAGTCCCACAAAGCTCTCTCCCATGGATGACCAGGATATCCATCGGCTCCTACAAGCTCTCTAAAGGAGACATTCATCATATGCTCAACCAGCTCACAGGGACTTTATGAGGTGACATTGCGGACCCACACTCTACTACTTCAGTGGCTGGACAGAGGCTGACAACCTTGGAGGCCCAACAAGAGAACACTGTCTCCCGTATCTCTTCTGTGGAAAACCTATTTCACTGCCAACACCAGCGCCTACTTGCCCTGCAGCTGCAACAGGAAGATACAGAGAACAGCATTCCAGAGGCCATTACTGGAGCAGACTTGAGAACTACGGTAATGAGCATCTTTAATATTCTATTACGCAACCCCATGGATACTCACATCGAGCTATATCGAGTGCATAGAGTTCCAGCATTCCTTCGCCCCTCTCAGTTGGAGCCTAGAGACGTGTTATTCAGGGTGCACTTCCATACAATTAAAGAGGACATTTTATGAGCAGAGTGGCACAGGGGTCCTGTAAATTTTGATGGAGCCACTGTGCAACTCTATCCAGACTTGTGCCCCCAAACACTCTACTGCCGGCGCCAGATGAGACCTCTGCTTGACCATCTGCAAGCTCAAGGAGAAACTTACAGATGGGGCTTTCCTCTATCCCTCGTGGTCAAAAAATACAATTGTGACTTTCAGCTCTAACACCCTACTCAGCTGCAGCAGCTATTTCAGTTCCTGAATTGGCAGTCCCCGACTGGTTAGACCTCCCAGAGCCTCATGAGGCATTCTCTGTATTCTGTCCGTGACCTCAAAGACAAAAATGCCCACACTTGGGGGCTTAGTAAGCGGCGTTTTTGAGTCCCAGGTTCTTCGCAGGTGAGGTCCGCACATCTTACCCGACCTGCTTTTTCTTGTTTCTCTCTCTCCTCTGTACCTTCTTAACTCCCTCTTCTACTCCCACATTTTTTCCTTTGGCCCTCTCCCCCACCCCTCCCCTCACCGCCTTTTTTTTTTTTTTCTTTCCTCCGCCTCTCCTCCTGGCAGTAGCTCACCATGTCCAAGGTAACTTTCATGACATACAATGAGAAGAGCTTGAATAGTCCAGAGAAATGCAATAAGCTGTTAGGTGAACTCTGGCGCCAGAGATCTCACATTGTTTTCCTCCAAGAGACCCATTTCCAAGGACAAAATTCAGAAATTGGGAGATTTCCGATTCCCTATGACATACCACAATGCCTCTTTGTGCTCTAAGTCTATATGTGTGATGATTCTTATTTCAAAACAAGTACAATGGGTTGAAAATTAAATTGTTACTGATAATGAGTGTCGATTTCTTCTGATCAGTGGTGACCTTTGTGGGCAGAGAGTTACTTTAATTAACATGTACCTATCTAAACAGGATCCAGTTTCCTCGTTGTCGTCTTATCTCTCACTGGTGGACCAACACTTTGAGGGGACATTGATACTGGGGGGAGACTGTAACATGGCCCTAGACCCATTACAAGACATATCGAGAGGCGCTTCGCACCTTCCATATTCCAAAATACGCAAGGCTAGAACGTTGCTATATGACCACCAAC